TTCCCGGTTTCCCACATTGTTCGAACGTTCCATGTACCTATAAAAATTTTTGCTCTGGTTGTTAGAAGGGGCATCGGCCTCGTGGATTCCGAAGGAACTCGGCTTTCACCATGAAGCGTCATAATTCTTCTAAATGAAGACCTTCTAACTCCCAGGGCAGAGTTAAAATGGTTTGGGTTATTTTTTCCGGTAAGCGTTTTTTACCGAGTTAGTTTTCTACGGGATGGGGACGCTAACCCCATGCTCAACCCTCCTCCTTTACCCGGGCTTGGGACCGGCAGCAACCCTATAAGAGCTACAGGCGGAGTTCAGTTAACAAATACTTCCTTAATTAAAAGTATATGAAGAAAAGCACATGCTTGGAGGTAGTTGGCAGGAAAGCGTACACTGAACCATATAACATGCTAAGTCACTTAAATTAGTGGTTACATTTTAACTTGATTGGTAAGATTCGATCAGTAGTAAAGGAACAGACAAATATAAATTTAAGCACTGCTTAATCAAAGATAGTGATTACCGTCTACATGAGTTTCTTCCATCTTTGATGTCAGTACATATTTGTCTGATAGTCTGCATTACTTATCGATAGTATTTTACTATTGAGGAGTAGGATAAAATTGCTTGGTAATAAACAATATATTTTTATTTACGTACATTAGTACTTACTATTTGGTTTACGTAACTCAATAATTTATTTTATAATTAAATATACAAGATGTATTCTACGCAATGTGTTTTTAAAACAAAAATTGTAACCAAAAACGAAAACTGAAGTATAAATTAAAGTACCACAGTGTTTAAAGTAGATTTAATTTCTCTTAGCAACAAAAATACGCTTCCTTTTTGATCTGATAATCGATTGTTTTAGATATCTATGGAAGTTAAATTGCTGTGTTTCAAGAAATAAAAAACTGGTTGCATTTTAAATGAGAAAATGTAATGCAAGTTCATTAAAATAAATGATTTGTCAATTCATAAGCGGTTTTTGATGGGTGATTTGTTGTTATTCCATTTAAATGTATAATTATCTATTTAAAGTAACTTCTGTGACATCGTAAAATGACTGAATTCGAATGTTTAGACATTCAAATTTCCACTCGTTAAATAAACTCACCACTTAGACTAAAGGATTCTAGGTTCATGCCTGTGTGGGGATCTAGTTGTCCACTTATGAAGATCCTGGGATCGAGAACAAAGCATTTTTCCATAGGTAATGGGTTCACAATGGTTTTTCAACTACCTGAAATCCCTTGAAATTTCTACCCTTTTATAAACAACTGTCACAATCCTTAAATAAAATCAATAAAGAAGTTCTTGTTTATAATCAAACTATTTTTGATAATTAATATCTGACAATTGTTCATACATTTGTGGTATTAAAACGTACCAGTTTCTGATGAATATCAAGTAACTACTCATTATTGTACTCATACTATCAGTTAGATTTTATATTACTCCCTGACTTTATGTTCTTCTGGTTTTCTCTAACTGATTTAATTATCTTGTGGATAGATTGAGTCAATTTACTATTTAGATATCAAAATACCTACTTCAATATTTTCTGGCTACTTCATACTTTAGAAACGAAGAACCTATTTTATTTTTATTAAAGTTAATGAAGAGATATTAATCGAATTAGAACAAAAGTTTGAGTTGCAGAGGAATTCGAAATCGAAACGTTCGGATAACGGATCTTGTGGTCCATTCACGAAGCATGTCTTTTACAGACTAGACAATACCTACTTTGCTACTTATATACTTACGGAACTCTCAAATAATTGGAATAGTAAGAGATATGTTGTCATTACGGATGACCGCGTTAATTCTCTGCCCCTTTTACCATCGTTTTCGACCTGCTAGACATTATTTTGCTAATCATATTATACTACTTAATAATATTGAGTAACTAATTCTTTTTTATCCATTTTTAGATGATATTATGTAATATCCGCTTCATTGTCATGTGGTATTATTTGGTACTTAAATGAACATTTGGGATTAATATATTTATTATGGTAACTATGGATTCACAGCTTTTTTAACAGTTAATTTCAATCCTTGTGCATTCAGTGGACACTTGTTTAGTTGTAGTTGGCTGATTTATTTCGAATGAACCATTTCCACCCTATTCCTCCATTATCCTGTAGGTAAACATGTAGATTCACTTCATCTTTGGCTTAGAGGTATGTCCATGGAAAGGGTGATACGAGGAACTCTGTCATTACTCTTTAAATTTCTAAAATAAATCAATTCATTAAGAAAAGTACCACATAGTGACCTGTGAAGTTACATAAGTTTGATCCATATATAGAACGATGAAAAATATGTACTGGAAAACGTCATCCAACATAAACTCTTTATCGTTTGGAACAAGCATCAGTGGAAATTTGTGAGACGGAACAATTTCTAAATGATACGAAGGCACTAAATATGCTATTTACCACGATTAGCTTTATTAAACAACTACCACCTCATGCAACTTCATAACCCTTTGGAGTTCTAAATGGAAACACTCTGCTCAATGAAGTACCATGTAAGAATAAACCATGTGTTTGAGTGATTGCATTTCCTTTACGAAATCCAATCACCAAAGATGTAGTTTGCCTACTTTTCTAAGTATGTTACCTCTCGTGAGACAGAAACTTCTGAATATGAATATCCAAGCAATTCCTTCCTGGGCATTCCTTTCCGATTTTTGAGGAATTACGAGTGTTTTTGATATCTACCTCCAATTCCAGTGCAATATATTATTTCATCTGCCTCATTCAACTTGAATTGATCCGAAGATAAAGCTCGATCTGTAATGCAGTTTATTAAACTTTATGGAATGTCCGGACAGTTTAGGAAACGGGAAGAACCAGCCAAATAGCTACGTAAATAAGGAGATACAATTCAGAGGTGGTCTGAATCAGTAAAATATATTCAAATAAAGAAGGATAGAAAAGACTAAATTCGAGAGAGATGTTGCTGTACTCTGGTCAACAAGAAGAAAAGCCTCTCACACTCAGACAATTGCTCTGGTGCTATTCATTGAAGCAAAAAATATGCTTATAAGATGGGAATCTCATAGATCTCACAGAATCATCAAAGCATCCTCGAAAACAAGGAATGAGGGTGTTACAGTGAATGTTATCCAACGTCATTCACCTACCGATGATAGTAATGTAGAAGATAAAGATCAGTTATATGAGAGACTACAATCTATCGTAGAGAACTGTCCAGCAAAGAACCCAAACACTCTGGTTGGAGACGTGAACGCCAAAGTCGGAATGGACAACATCGGATATCAAGATATCATGGGACGACATGGACTAAGAGAAGGGGATCAAAGTGTTGAGAGATTTGCGAATTCATGTGAGTTCAAAAAATCGGTTATAGGTGTCACTATATTCCGCACAAACGTTCACACAAAACTAAATTGGTTTCGTCGGATCACACTATGAAAAACAAGATCAATCATATTCGCATCAGCAAAATATTCAGCAGGTCAATGGAACATGTGAGAACCAGCTAAGGAGCTGACATTACTTCAGATCACCATCACCAACTCGTCGTTGTAAAGATGAAACTGAGGCGAAAGAAACACTGGACAACTGGACAAACAGCATTACGAAGGTTCAATACACAATTCTTTCAACACACTGACAAAATCAACCAATTCAACATAGCTCTCAACAACAGGTTGCAAACACTACATGATCTACTCAAAGAAGAGAAAACTGCGATGGAGGACAATTGGAAAGAGGTCGAAGATACACTAACTTCAACGTGTTAGCAGGTTCTGGGCTGCAACAAGCATCATCATCGTCATCATCATCATCATCATATGGAATAGATCTACATCGAAACCGCGGACAAGATACAAGAAACGAAGAACAATAGCATGACAATTAACAACAGTCGAACGAGAACACAGAAAGTCAACACACAAGCTGAATACACTGAAGCAAACAAGAGAGTGAGCATTAGAGCATTACAGCTGACAAACAGAAATACAAGGAACACTTGGCAGTGACAGAGGAAAATGATGCAAGAGAAGGGAATACCAAACAACTATCTGACACGACGAAGAAACTGGTAGGGAAATGTGGTAAACCAGAAAGACCGGTCAAATACAAGGAAGGCAAGCCACTCACTGAGACTCAACAATAGATGGACAGATAGGTAGAACAATTTGAGGACACCTCAAATCGACCAGCTCCACTGAATCCACCATACATTGAAGCAGCACCTAAAGACCTTCTCATAGATGTCATTCCACCAACGATCGAAGTAATCAGTATTGTCAACAAACAAATCAACAGTGGGAAAGCAGTAAGACCTGACCACATACCAAACGAAGCACTGAAGTCCGACATAGAAATAACTACAAACACGTTCCACCTTCTATTCCGGAAGATTTCGGAGGAGGAACAAGTGTCGACAAACTGGAAAGAAGGATATCTCTTCAGGATACCAAAGAAAGGAGATCTGAGCAAATGTGAAGACTAAAGAGACATCACAGTACTGTCAGAACTAGGGCAATTTTTCGACAGAGTGTTGCCGAACCGAATGAAGGATTCAGTAGATGCACAGCTACGAGATCAACAGGCTGGATTCCGTAGGGAACGGTCATCCATATACCATCTCGCCAAACTACGCATAATGGTTTAAGAATCGATAGCATAGAACTCGTCATCACACATCAACTTCCTTGATTATGAGGAAGTGTTTGACAGAGTGGATAGGAGAACGTCATTGGAACTTCTTGGATACTGAGATGTACCTTACTACATTGTCAACATCACCCGGAGTTCATACGACGGGCTGCACTATAAACTCGCGAAAATAAACTGGAAGCAGCTGGAAAACGTTTCCACGTACAGAGGTGGTTGAATTATACTTGTGGTTGGCTTGTGTTATTCTGTGAGGCGTAACGATCGTAAGTAATTCGATAAACACTCATACTACCTGTCATTGACTACATCACTCGCGCCACGTACGAACTCGATAGGTGATGATATAGGATCCAAACCACGTTTGGACTGCTGGACAGCTGCTTGGATAAGTTGGATACGCGCCCTTGCCCGTTTGAAATCAGAACAAGGTAATCGGGTAAGATAGCGGTTCTATAATTTATCATAAATTTAAGTATACATCATTACCTAAACAAATATAACCACACAGCTATCCAACCAATAATTGTTTAATTGATCAAATCTAAACTACAATAAATAAGAAAGTTGATAAAGAATGCAAGAAAATTACCAATCACCACAAATAAATGTTATTCTATCCTGACTGGATAGATCACGTACAGATTCGTTCAAAAGGTAATAATTGGTCGCTCTATAACACAGAGTGTTTTCAATTCTGGAAGAGTGCTTCAATTCACAACCAAAATGCACAATTCCAGTCAACACAGGTCAAGCAATCAAAAGCAGGGATAAACCAAAATGGCTGCCGCCCAGACTTAGTATAAAGTAAAACAACATAAGTGCAGTTCGGGAAGAAACATGGGGAATTAGTGAAGGTGTGGTAAAAACGAAAACTATAATAAAATACAAATATTAACAATTCAAATGTAGTCCAAAAGTTAACAATGTACAACTAAGAAGATCAATAGGAACAAAGTGCAAGTACATACATGGAGGGATTTTCATAAACACACAAGGCATTCAAAATGGATCTTACACCGGCCCCCAAAATCCCTCCATATCACACAAGCTACCTTGATGCCTATGGTCATGGTTCATTATGTAGCATATCACACTATAGGAACGAGTAGGACTTACAACAGTACGCCTACTCGACCTACCTATATAGATAACACGAGGAACTAATTCGAGCCTTCAAGGAGGCATAATCTACGTATATCTCTCCTGACTAATCCACCGTTCGTACGAACAACCACTGTTCTAACTCTTCCGTCGTCATCTATTTCACAATCTTCAACTACGCCCAAGGGCCATTTTCCACGAGTCGATATGTCCGAAGCTACGATCACTACATCCCCTTTCTGGAAATTGCGGTGTTCAACTAACCACTTTTGACGCTTTTGTAGGGACGGTAAATACTCTCTTAACCACCTTTTCCAAAACACATTAGCAAGATGATTAATCTGTTTCCAACGTTTGTCATATTTATCTCTGATGCTACCTTCTTCGACTATTCCGTCACATTCTCTCAATAATAACAAACTATTTGGCGACAAGGCTAGTTTATCGTTAGCATCTTGAACGACCGGAGTTAAGGGTCGATCGTTCAATATCCTTTCAATCTCGATCAAATAAGTGTTTAAAGTCTCATCGGTTAAAGTCTGCTCTCTAGTTATCAACAATAAAAGTCGGCGTATGGACCTAATCATCCTTTCCCAAACTCCACCCCTGTGGCTGGATGAGGGCGGGTTAAAATGCCATTGAATTTGTCTAGCTGACAGTTCTTTGTCTATTTTCTGTTGATTCAACTGTTGCACAAACCTCCTTAATTCAGAGACCGCACCCACGAAATTTGATCCATTGTCACTGTAAATTTCGGCAGGTTTCCCTCTTCTTCCAATGAAACGTAGCAAGGCCATTATAAACGAGTCAGTATTCAAACTATGTGTCATTTCAATATGTACTGCTCGGGTTTGCAAGCAAGTAAATACACATCCATATCTTTTTTCTAGTGATCTTCCTCTTTTGACAAAAAGGGGTCCAAAGTAGTCTACTCCCACGGCTGAGAAGCTATACCATCCTTGTTGCACTCTACAAGCTGGAAGTGGTGCCATCAATTGTTGCCCTGTAACCATCGTATACCGCCGGCATGTCACACACTTTCCTATCACTCTCCTAACCGTGCTGGTTCCTTTTATTATCCAATACCTTTTTCGAATCGTGGCCAGTACTTGTGACGTTCCTGTGTGCCCTTGTTCCTTATGATAATGTCTAATTATCATTTCTGTCACTAAGTGTCGACTGGGCAATATTATTGGATGTTTAAAGGCATTTGAGAAATCTGAGTAGCTTAGTCGGCCTCCAACACAGAGTAACCCATCAAGCATTATCGGTGATAAGCCCTTCAGATCATTGTGACTAACTACTTTACCATTGGTTTTAAATCCACTAAGTATTTCTCCATACACTTCTTTCTGAACCATCAACAAAATTTTACGCGTGGCGACGTCAAGTTCTTTGACCTTTAAATACCCTAGATGAACGGATCCTTCATAACTCGGTGAACGAAGCACCATCAGAAATTCTATGAACCTTCTAAGCCAGGCTATGGCCCTGACTAATTTCAACCACTCAGAGTAATAAGAGAGAATAGGTGACATGTTGTGCTTTACACTACTCAAGTTAACCACAGCAGTTTTTCTAAACTCAATATCGTCAGGAGTAGGTTCCGGACAGTCAGTGATTGTTGTACAGAATTCGCCATGCAGTAAGGTAGGACATTTGAACCAAGATTCCAGATCAGTCATTTTTTGTATACCTCTTGATGTCCAATCAGCTGGATTCTGTGACGACTTTACATAATTCCATTGTTCAACCTTCGTATACTGGTGCACCACAGCGAGGCGGTTGGCTATATAGGTGCTATATCGGTTCTCCATATTCTTAATGTAGTATAACACTATCATGGAATCTGTATAGAAGTTTACTTCGCAGAAAAAATTAGGCAGACTTCTCCGTAATACTTCACTAAGCCTCACACTTAACACCGCTGCCGCCATCTCAAGTCTCGGTATAGTGACTTGTCTGATAGGTGCTACCCTAGACTTGCTGTACAACAAGATACAATATGGTGGCTCCTTCAAATAGCTGACTCGTGCGTACGCAACTGCTCCGTAACCAACCTCTGAAGCATCACTGAACAAGTGCAATTCCACTTTAGCGTCGGGTTCGTCGATTTTCCTCTTGATACCTCGAGCTACCGTGACGTGACCTATCTGACGCATAAAACTTACCCAGCCTAGCCACGCGGACATGTATGGCTCGTTGAGAGGCTGATCCCAGCCTATTTGGGACCTACATAATTTTTGCAAGAGAAGTTTGGCAGTAAGACAGACTGGAGCAATCAGCCCCAGAGGATCGAACAGAGAAGAAACTATAGATAAAATACCTCTCCTAGTCAGAGGTTTTTCCGGTGCATCAAAGTAAAACTTAAATACATCTTGTTTAAAATCCCATTCTACACCTAGGGTTCGATGAGTAGTGTCGTAATCCGTAGACATTTCTATCAAGGACTGTTCTTTACATACATCAGGCAAGATGGCCCTTACCTCCTCTGAGTTGGTAACCCATTTCTTTAGTTTGAAGCCACCTCTACATAATAATTCACTTATCTGCTTGACGAAACTCTTTGCTTGATCACAAGTGGGAAAAGATACCAAGCAGTCATCAACATAGAAATTATTCTTAACAGCATCTACGACATAACCATCATAACCGTCAGAGAATATTTGAGCCGTCTTATTCAAGGCAAAGTTCGCGCAAAACGGCGATGATATGGCGCCAAATGGATGAGATGTCATTTGAAACTCGGATGGTTCTTTCGACATGTCTCCCCCCTGCCACCACAGAAATCTTAAGGCTCCTCGATCAGACTCAGGGACCTTCACTTGCATGAACATTTCTTCAACATCCGCAGAGACTGCGATTGCTTCTTTGCGAAAACGCAATAATATACACACTAACTCAGCCGTTGTGTCGGGTCCTTGATAAATCATATCATTTAGAGAAACACCCGCAAACTTAGCGGCACAGTCAAGGACCACTCTCAGTTTTTCTGGCTTTTTCGGGTTTATAACCGCATGGTGGGGCAAGTACCAACAGGGGCGATAACTAGGTTGCAATTGTATTTCAGGGATCTCCTCCGCATAGCCCTTAATAAAATTACTTTCAATACCTTTTGTATACTTGATATACAGAATGTCATCTTTCAACAATCTACGCTTCAAACTCTGTAGTCTACTGCTTGCCACTTCATAATTCCCCCCTTTCATATTTGGGTTCACTTTCCATGGTATAGGAACTACAAAATGACCATTTTCGAAGCGTGTGCCCTCTTCCACAATCCTTATAGCCGCCTTATCTTCTAGCGATGCTGATTTATCATTTGAATAAACATCAGAAAACTCTACATCATAAAGTTTACGTATTTCGTTCTCCAAGGTCTGTATCTTACTGGTATGATTGACCACTCTTCTCCTATATTCCGGATACGACGCAGGTCCGAAGACCGTCCAACCCAGCAACGTCTTCACAGCGTACGGGCTTTTTCTCCCACCCAACCGCTGGTCTAACACCCAGTGTGCTTCTGGTACGTCGCAACCAATCAACAGCAGAACTTCTTCAGAGTCTAAGTTAACTATCGGTACATCCCTTAAATGTGGCCACTTAACTAGGCTGTTCACTGCCGACTTTGTTGGCTTATGGCCTGGTATACCTGCCACAATCAGAGCTCCTTCAATCGTAACATGTTCAGCTCGATCTAAAGAATATACCTCAAAAGGCGCACTCGTGACCTTCATTGATCTATTACCGCCCACAGTCTCAACTACCACTGATGCTTCGTCTTCGCTCAGCCCGAGAGACCTCAAACAGTTTGATTTTATCAGTGTCACATCAGAACCGTTGTCCAACAGAGCATAACCCACAATCTCGGCTTTTCGCGATTTCAACCGTACGGGAATCATGCCTAAACACACTTGACTGATTAGTGATTTAGTATATCCGCAACAACTCGAGATACCAGGTTTCTCACTCTCGCTGTGCAACAAAGAATGGTGTTTCTTTTCACAACCCTCAACGTTACAGCGCTTTGTCAGCTTACATTCATTAACTCTATGTCCTTGTCTAAGACAGGCGAAACAGATACCCTTGCTTTTAGCGTGAGACCATCGGTCTTGAACTGTAAGCGCTAAGAACTGTGGACATTTATCAATGGCATGGTCGTAGGAACACATACTGCATTTAGTTTTCGTTGTCGAACTATTCCCTTGCTCTGATTGCACGTGACAGTTCGTCCTCACGTTATGTCCTTTTCTTGAACGGTTTGCTAACCGTCCAAATCTACTACAAGCCACTCTCGCCCGCGATGCGATAAACTGAGTGAGCTCGTCGAAGGTCGGTTCCCTGTTATCTTCAGTCAATTTATCCACCCAGTCCGCCCACTGGGCTTGCATAGGTTGAGGCAAAAGTCTCACTATTCTTTCCAAGGTAACTAAGGAATTTAGATCAGAAGTATAATTCATCTGTTCCAAGACCATGGCACAGTTTTCCATTTTAATAGCCAAATTTGATAGTTGGTCCCCGTCAATATACTCAAAATTCACAGCACTGAATAAGTCCTCTAGTGTTTCTCGAGCAATTACGTGAGACTGTCCGAAAAAACGTTTTAAAATCTCCCTTGCTCTTTTATAGCCAGAGGATGCCTCCATCATGACGCAACCTTCAATAGCTGTTTTAGCCTTGCCCTTACAGTAGTGTATCAAATAGAGTAAGCGCTGGCTATCATCCGTGACTCTTGACGCTACATACGTCTCAAATTGCCTTATAAATTTCCAATAACCTCTTGGCTCTCCATCGAAATAACTCAGCTCAACCTTAGGTAGCTCTGGGCCAACAACATGGACTATAGGCGACATGCTCTTTCCTAGTAACTCAGGCCTTTGCTCCTCCTTTAAACTAAGATTTTTTACATCATCTGACATCAAATTAAGACTAGAATCACTGCCCTGATAATTAACCCTATTTAAGTCTGAACCATGACCCTTAAGGACGTCAAAAGGCACTTGCTTGACAATAGGGGATTCTTCGTTAACATCGACGAACTTTGAGCCTGATCTCCTTCGACGATTAACTGGCATTATAAACGAAACGACCAATTAATTCCAGAAAATCCGTGAACGATTACCAAAGGATTTCGGCCAAGTTATATTTGTTTAGAACTATAGGATCCAAACCACGTTTGGACTGCTGGACAGCTGCTTGGATAAGTTGGATACGCGCCCTTGCCCGTTTGAAATCAGAACAAGGTAATCGGGTAAGATAGCGGTTCTATAATTTATCATAAATTTAAGTATACATCATTACCTAAACAAATATAACCACACAGCTATCCAACCAATAATTGTTTAATTGATCAAATCTAAACTACAATAAATAAGAAAGTTGATAAAGAATGCAAGAAAATTACCAATCACCACAAATAAATGTTATTCTATCCTGACTGGATAGATCACGTACAGATTCGTTCAAAAGGTAATAATTGGTCGCTCTATAACACAGAGTGTTTTCAATTCTGGAAGAGTGCTTCAATTCACAACCAAAATGCACAATTCCAGTCAACACAGGTCAAGCAATCAAAAGCAGGGATAAACCAAAATGGCTGCCGCCCAGACTTAGTATAAAGTAAAACAACATAAGTGCAGTTCGGGAAGAAACATGGGGAATTAGTGAAGGTGTGGTAAAAACGAAAACTATAATAAAATACAAATATTAACAATTCAAATGTAGTCCAAAAGTTAACAATGTACAACTAAGAAGATCAATAGGAACAAAGTGCAAGTACATACATGGAGGGATTTTCATAAACACACAAGGCATTCAAAATGGATCTTACAGATGATGTGTCCTGTATATCTTCAAAATTTACTGCCCATTTTTTCTGACTTCTCCCAAAACTCTAACTGTTTCGCTCTCTTTGTATTTAACCTTTCGTTCTGACTTACCATGTTGCATTGTCGTCCTATTCGTTTGATAATGTAGAATTGTAACAACTCAGGTCGATTTGTTGTGGGTTGGCCAACGACACTTTAACAATATGAAAACTTCAAAGTCCATATACATTAATCCACTTCCTTATTTTGTATAGGCATTGTATTTCCTATTATTCTATAGTGAATACTTAAGGGCTTTGTTTGTTCAAAAAAGATAACTTCGCGCTCCAAGGGCTCTGTTTCACGATAGAAATAAAGTTTTGTTCACCACTGGTCTGGTTTTTTCTTTCAATTAATCAAAGGGTACCCATGGGAACGAAAGTTTTTCACATCTCTCTTTTTATAAGCCTTTTACTGTCGTCGCATGATCTTCCGAGTTTTCCCGTATCAGTTCTGATTTTTCAATTCTTTTTTCTTCCTTTTTAATCAGCATGTGCCCTGACGTTCTTGGATTCTGTTTGGTTGGTTTTGACTTTTATTCTCTTGTTTGAATCATTTTGAAGATTGATAAGTCTGTCAGTAGAGACCCACTCCTTATGCTAGTGTTTTTTCGAGGCAGTAGGCCTCGTCACATATTCAAGTTATTACTTCTTCGATCCCTTCCCAGTTGTCCTCCATATCGATTTTTTTCTACTAGATTTTTTATGACTTAGAACATTTCGCCTAGAGAAATCTCGGGTTCTTTAGGTTTTTTATCATCTTGTAGTTCTGTTCGCCCAACGGTGCAAATCTATTTGACTTCAGTTCTAGCTCAGCCAAATTCAGGTGGTGATATAAGGCGACCTTAACTCTCTCCTTGTTCTTACGTCTTCAAAGGATTATCTATACTTTTTAGCGATCGATTTGGTTCCCCAAGGCATATGAAGTCTGTATATCTTGTCTATGCGTTGGTGAGAGTATGATGCCACGTATGCAAGATTTGCACCATTTTAATTACTTTCATGATACGCTACGAAGGTTTTGTACCTAATGTTGTCCCTACCGTCTTTTGGGTCCAGGCTCAATGCCAGAATGAGTAGGTCTGTACCAAGGCAATTTTCCATGATGAACTTCAGTCTTCCATAAAATAAGTCTTTATTGTTGTTGTCTTCGGTAGATAAAATTATCAGCAATACTTTCTTTTTTCTTCAACCACATCAGATTGTTTCTGGTACATTCCATTTATGAATAGGAGAAGAAAACAGCACCTTCCTTGAAGCAAGTCTTTTCTGTATAGCTTGTTTCTAACGCTCTTATATTATTCGCAAGAGAGCCAGCTAGTGTCTCCTCATTCTCACAGCAACTTCGATGCCACTGCCGGCCTCCTACATGGTATAGAAATTCTACGTACTTATAGAAATTGTTGGTTTCTGACATACGATATTATAACAGTCCTACGTGGAGACCTTCTTACTCTTACGGCAGTGTTCTTTCTATCTATTATGGTTAGAATTTATCTGACTGTGATTTTGCTCGCGCTGAACAACATAATGGCGGAAAAATTGGTAATGTTGAAGACGCCACAGGTATTTAAAGTTTGACAACGCTTTGACCAGTAACATCCTCTATTATGAATCGTACTCACCAAGTGGAATCAAAAGACAGAAGCGTGGAGTTTCGAAGATATATTTGACAAGCTATCAATATATCGGGGATTTTCTGATCTAAACTGACTAGCAATCGCAGGAGATTTTGAGCACGGCGTTCCCACTAGTGATCTTGTGCGGATGCATGATCAAGCGCCTTCAACTAAGTGAGTTCATTAAAACTCGTGTGGTCAGCATCCAGTGTTACAAACTTATTCTGGGAGTTTATTTACAACTACAATGTATTCGTACCACTAAATTAACCTTACTTAGCTAGCTTAGGTTCCTAAACTTACAACGTTTAGAATTACAGAAAGATAAAAAAGATAGGATGGCAACTATCTTTCACCAGTACATTTAAGTAATAAACTGTACATACGAGTACATCAATTCAGAATATTAATTAGGAGGTATTGTGCAAACAATTTGGTGAGTCTCTAATCCAAGAAATTAGGTTCTGAAGGGATGTGGTAGCATCTTTGGACTATTTTTTAGAAAGAATTTAATGTTTACCTACATGCTGATAAATCAGATGAGTTTCTTTTCTTCATTGACTGAGGTTTTGAGAATCCTGAATGAATAAAAGATGTATGTTTCAATTAATTGGGACCCTATCCTTCAACCCAGGATCACATAACAATCATTTGAAGATTTAGGTTCTCTGCACACAAGTTAAGGGCAAACAATGACCAGTATTTTCACGAGATATATGTATTCTTACTGACTAATCAACTGTCTAAGAGTACCAAGGATATACAGTCTAATCCTATGACTAGCCCTTCGAAGAGAAGGACGGACCCTAGATGAAGGCTAATTAAAAAGGCATCACGCCCTTCCATATTCATAGTAAGTGTTTGAAGCGCAATGGACATGATTGTTTATTCTTGTAAAACGCACTACAATGAATCAAGGTCATAATAAGCACATTTATGAAGTAAGGTAGTCAAGGTGATCTCGGGATTGTTATTAAAATGCTTCAGAATAGACGTTATTGAAAATATAACAGCCCTTTATTCAAAATTGAAAACCTTTTGTAAATTAAGTTCCTTCCACCATTATATATGTTTTGCAGATTGTTTATTAATTCTTCTTTATGTTGGCATATAATAAAAGTAGCCGTACTTTTTATGATATTCGCCTGAATATATGGGTGAGAAGAGGTATTGGAGTTTCGCTTTTTGCGGTCTCAGGTATACAGAAGATTTCTAAACAAATACTCATGTTGTTCTATTTAAAAGCAGAATAAAAAGTGTTTCGTGGGGGTAAAATAATGAAAGCATTACTTCTTAGGTTGCTGAATTATCATGATTATTTGTGTCAGGATTAATCTTATCCAGATTTACGATATTCGATTCACCATATACACTTTAAGAAAGAGAAATAAGTGTAGTGAATTTGTATTAAATGCTTTTTTCATTAGAACTTTCATAAACACCAAAAAGCTTTTCAAAATATCGTTATTACCAATTTTTTAGTCATGAATTATTTTAGAGATTTTATACACACTGTTGAATGATTGCCGAGTACATATTCTAACAAAACCTCTGTAGGGTATTTTTCGACACTTCGCTTCAGATTTGGTAAGATTCAATGACTTGTTGCATATTTGCCACCTTAAACCATTCACAAAAACATGCAACCTTTGAACAATACAGCGCGTTCCAAAATTTCGAGCTATTCTGATTCATTAGCAATGAGATGCAAAACGAAGTAATGTGAATTCTTAAAAATCCATTTCAGAAAAGAAACTGGAGTTCTCTAGCTACAAACAACAGTAATGTACCTGATGTAAGGTTGTAAGTAGCATTGTGTATCCACCAATTTGTGATAAAATATTAGAGCTCTGATTCTTTTAGGAAACCACTGATTTTATCCCTCAGGTTAATTTTGTTAAGTATACATTTAATAAACAACAAACTTTGTTTCACTTTAATGATCCAATATCTGATATATGGAAGTAGTTTAGAAAAAACAGCTGAGTCCTTGTTTTGTCATTCCTTTAAATTTGTCATTAAATTTTATTTAGGGATTGAATTGCAGCAATACGAAATGAAGTTTCTAAAGGCCAATTGGTTCTTCAGAAATTGTTGAACTACCTTCGTCAATACTGATAACTAGAAAGGTAAAACTCACAGTCATTTCACCTATC